TTTCAAACATTAAAATTCATATTTAAACTTGCTTAGAACTAATGGAAAACTAATTCTATCCGGGAAACAACAAGCTTGCCTAAATTCAATGTTATGTGTCAAATTCTCTCCCCTGAAGTTCTCGTGAGCCCTCATCATCAACTTATAGAGACCCCCATGAGCAGATGGACACAGCTGGATTTTAGTCAATTCCTTCTCTTACCCTTGAGTCAGCTATTTCATATTTCATGTGGGGAATACATCTCTCTTTGTACAGGGAATAAATTACATTACCACTTGGCATACTTGCAAGGCTGGAAGATACAAGCTAAATCAATGCCTAATGTACTGATTTCTAAGAAGCTGTAAAACAGTTCAGGATTTTTAAAATATTAAGCGGTATATAAATATTCTAATATTTGTTCACATGGGCACTTGGCATAGGACTATTTTTCACCACATTTTATAAGGTATCTCTGTAAGTCAAAGAAAATGCTTTAGTGAAAAACCTACTTCAAAAATCGTTTACAAAGCCAAACCATGATTCTCAAACAATCAACTTAGTTAACACATGGACTATTTAATGGAGATTTGACATTAATTACATTTAACAATGTAATGCCCAGTGAATAGAAGGCACACATGAACTTAAAGAAATGTATATGGAAGTATTAAAAGCAAAATTAAATGGGCAAATTTAATGTAGCAAACATAAAAACTTCAGAATCTATGGCTTAATCTTGAGTAAGATAGCATGATATCCTGATGGCAGCGTTAACACACAGATGCAATTTACTGTACTCATGTTATTATATTTTTGTATATTATATTCACTGAATGCTAATTTTATCCAAAAAGAAGCAATTCAATAAACATACTTACCGATATATGTGAATAAGTTAGAATTACTCAAATTATCATCTCTACCTTAACTATGACTTGGCTTATCATCATAGCAGTATTTGAAATAAACCAGAATATGAAACCATGGTTTGTACTAAATTCCTGAGTGGAATCCAATGGGACACTTATATCCCTACTGATCTCCTGTCCCTCACGGAGTTGTGCAAGCAGCAGGTCCATCAATTCCATTGTGTGAGAACCACCATTTGTACAATAGAAATGCAGTGCTTCCCAGCTGAAGACCTGAAACAAGTGGATGCTTCCACTTCTTGACTGGGACAGTTCAGTAGAGCTCCTTTACACAAGCTGTACTGTATCACATATTCAGTTCTGGAAAACTCTGTATACACACTTAGTTTGCTAAGGCCAAATGAACATACAATGGGGCACTTTCAAAAGAAAGATGTGCATAGCCAAAAGGATCATGAATCAGATACTGCAGCTCCACAGCATATGTCTATGCATAACTGAAAATCTGTTGCTTCCTTTGCACTTTTAAAATTTTATTGCACTAATTAGCAGTGAAAGTGCACTCCATCTGAGGCTGTCATACTTTGGGCATATCATGACAATGCAAGACTCACTAGGGAAAGCCAAAGGCAGGGGGGAAAATGGAATACCAAAATAAGATGGAATGACACCATAAGGAAAGCCACAGCCTTGAATTTACAAAAGCTAGGCAGAATTGTCATGGACAAGGCATTCTGGATGGCTTTTCTTCATCAGGTTGCCATAACAACAAGTACACTTCTGTGTTAAGTGTACATTAATGCTACCATAGATTATCTTTAACAGCATTTATGCTTTAGTACAGAACCAAAGCTTCCAGGGTATCAATATGCTCTATTTTCTACAACAGATACAGATCATGATAATATTGCACATCACATTAAATGTAGCACTTTTCCCATCTGTAGCATATAATCAATTCCCATCTAGAGTCCAGGCAGATGCAGGTGCTATGCTCCAGATATAATACAAGCCTGATAAGCGGAATGTGTCATGCACACATTGGACTTCCACAAATGTATTTGTGTGCACAAGAACTGAGAGAGAACAATAAACTCTCCAGACAAATGAAATAGCATGTTAACAATGAGAAGCCACTACTGAATATTCCAAAGTAGCCACTACTGAAGCATGTTATTTCAGCTAAAATCTATTTGGAGCATCCATTCTTCAAATTTCAGACCTATTTCATTTTAAAGCTTGTCAAACTTATGTTCAGGCTTTTTAAGACCCATCACAACTTAGAAATGGTGTAAACCATGCCTACTCATTATAAGCTGTTGCGCTCTGCAGTCAAATGGGTAGTTATCTGAAATTCAGACTCCTACTGTCCTGTGGTTATCTCCATTGCTTTCATTTGTATACAAATTAACATTACAATTCACAGCGTGTTCAAAGGTACCATGTACAACTGCAAAACCTGAAAAGTTTCCTCAGTTCATCATACCATAACATGTTTCAGGTAAAAGTGTAAAAAACAAAAGAGTACTAAACATAATGCAAGTCTTTTACTCCAGATTTATATGTATGTGTCAGATATATTCTACTGCTACTAACAATACTGCATATTGTGCTTCATTTGTATGAACTGCCCTTTGTCAGTATTTCCTTAATCTAAACATGGGATTTCCCCCCCACTTCCCAAATTGAAAGGCAAGGTGACTATTTACAAGGAGAGTTACAGTAAATCTGACTAAATTTAAAACCAATTATAATAAGCACATAATTAATCATCTTTTTTAGTCAAAAATGACTTACTGATTAGGTATAAAAGTTGTGCGGTGAATCATATTTTGCTACTGTTCCAGTGTTAGATACCATAAACATATCCTGCATGGTAAAATATTTCAGCACTATTTTCCTAAGTCGTATGTATAAGCATGAGGCAAAGTGTAATAACAAAACAACTTTTATCACACTCACTGGCACGAAGGAAACGAAGTACCCACTTCAGGAAACCTTTGCTTCTTGCAGTTATACCTCTAATGCTTTGTTCACCCCCTGCAACCTCTGCGACTATTTCATAAAACTCCTCTCTATAAGCATGCCATACGCTTTGATGCATTATTGTTTTCTTCCTTATCAGGAACCGGCAAGTGCTAAATAAGAAAAGAAGCTTCCAAGAAAGATTTGGTTCAGGTTTGACACTGAAAACTGCCTTATAAGGTATAAAAGGCTGAAAAGGAGGAAGAGCTTTTGACAAAACTAAGGAAGTTCCTCTGCGCTTGCTCACTAAAGAGGGTGGACTTTTTTTTTTCACCCACACAGGGAGAAGTAATGCTGAATAAATGACACATATGGAAAAAGTATGGCATTGCAAATGAAGCCCCCACACTAAAATGCCAAACTTCATGGTTAAAATATATAATTTAAAACAAGTTTAATTATATATTAGCTAGCTTAGATTTTTTTTTTTAAATAAAGGATTACGGTCTCCACTGATAGATTCTGTGCCGAAGCTCTATGAAAGCTCTATGATTTCCATTTCAAAAAAGGAAGAACCACCGCGTCTTGAAAGGGCGAACTAGGGGAAATTTGGGGCCAATGGAATGAATGGCGGGTGAGGGAGGAAGCTGAGTTATTTCCAAAGCTAAGTGTGGCTGTGTGTGGGGTGCTGATTTTAGCCCCAGCGCCCATTTTCAAAGGCTGCCCCGTTCCCCGAGTGCAAAATGTTCCGCCGTCCTGCCGAGCACACAATGAATTAAAACTATAGCAACTGCAATTCCACTGACTTTTACGACGGGAAGACAATACAACCTCCCTTCCCGAGAGGCCGAAGCCTCGGGGGAATGAGTAAGGGCCGATCCCACATATTTCAAACGGGAAGGTAAGGGAAACTGGGTTGCTTAGGGTGTAACTCCTTCCTCCCAGAAAGCTACATTTCTGAAGGTGGAAACCTAAAGACAGAGAAAGCGCGATTGGATAAACTGCTCCCGTCAAAATGCCAGCCAGACAGCAACGGGGGAGGTCAACCCCCTCTCTCACCCCACCTCACTCCACTTCCTACACACACAGTTCCTACAAGTTGAAAGGGGACGCAGCACTCAACAATGGGTGGGAGGGAGAGGAGCGAGGTGCGGGTGGGAACGGGATGAAAGGAAGCGCTCGGTCGGTGCCTGCAGAGCCGATGGATCACAAGCCCCTCTCCAGCGCGAGCAGACCAGGCAATGGCCTCCCCCTGTACAGCGTTCAAGGCAAAGGCAACTGCAGCCTTCCCCGCCCTCTCCCTCCGGCGCCTGGGAGCAAACTGTCAGCAGCAACAGCCAAGCAGCGCCGCCGCCGGCTCCCTCGCCCATTCATCCCTCCGCGCTCACCCTGTGCCACAGTCCACCACGCAGGCCGGGAGCCGCCCTGCCATCCTCCTCGGGTCAAGACGGCGCTGGGGAGAAGGTGCGGAGGACCCCGCGGGACTCGCTTCCCTCCTTCCACTCTGGGGGAGTGCAGCCGCCCACTTCCGCAAAGGAGCCAGTCACTCCCTGCCCCAGCCTCCGCCTGCCGTGCCGTGCCGTGCCTTGCCTGCTCCCCTCCCCCCCACGCTCGCTCACACACGCACAGCCCCAGTCAGCGAGCGAGCGAGCCCAAGATGGCCGCCTCTTCCGTCCCTCCCTCGCCGCCGGAGCGCGGACGAGGGAGGGTCAACGAGGAGGAGGAGGAGAAAGGGGAAGAGAGGGAGGGCGCGTCAAACCGAAGCATTCGGCGACGTCTGCGGTTCGGGGAGCGAGCGGGTGTGAGGAAGTGAAGCGGGAGGGCGGTCCGCCAGCACGCTTCTTTCTTTGGTTTGTTACTGAGCTCTTTCTCACACATCAAGTTATCGCTGGCGTATTGACAGAGCATAGCGTGCTTTCTTCCTCCCTCCTCCCACATCCTGTGATGGATTCGATGGCTTAGGTGGGCGATTTTAAGGCGTGTGCTTCAGAACGCCTCTCTTGATTTCAAAATGCATATTGGTGTGATACTTCTGTAAGGCCAACCAAAAGATCACGAAAGGAGTGCAAGCTTTCGAGATCTCTCGAGCTCCCCGTCTGGCAAGATGTCACAAAAGGCAGGTTCCAGGAGAGGAGGAGAGGAAGAACAACCGTTCTGACTTGATGGCTAAGTCACGCCGTCTGTATATTCAGGCCACTGTTTGTTTTATTCTGTTTGCTCTATGACTTCGATACACCCGTGGCTCCGGGGAATCCGCGTAACGCACACGTTGTGGCCTTGACTTGAGAGGCCCGGCGGTTGCAAAAGAAAACTCGAGCAGAACTTGGGTGCATGTCGGGCAGAACTGCTTGACGGCAGAATTCAGCGTTTTCAGAGCACGGAATGCGGAGACAGGAAACGCTTCACCTGCTGCTGGAGTTTTGGCTACTAGCCAGGCACAGGAACTCTGTCAAGAAATAAGTTGGCAATCTTAACGACTCTCGGGACCATTTACCATGGAGGAGTCATGGCTGCCAAAAAAAAAAAAAAAATCAGGCAGTGGCACATGCTACCAACAAAAAGACCCTGATTTTTCATGCAATTACATGTGAAAGGCACACAGAAAGAACCGAACTCTCCTCATATTACATGTAAGAGCACTTTTTTAGCCCACAAAATAAGTCCTTTGAAGAGGTCACTACTATTTTTTAATGTGTTAGCTTTCAAAGGCTCATAGTACATCTTTATAATACTTTCTTGAATGACTATGCTCGGTTTGTACATTAGGGAAGTGTCTTTTAAGAACACCTCCATTTCAAAGATTACACAGTTCTACTGTGGCTGTTACTTGGCCCGTAACTGCCTAACTCCTTTATGTGTCCTTGCTATTCCTTGTGACTACAATCCTGTGATCATATTTAGCTCAAGTGAGGGTCATTTTCCATATTTATCTGGAAAGAGATCCATGTTTAAGAAATAACTACAAACTGGTGCTAGGAGAAGAGCGTTGACCCTTGCACATGTTGCCTAAGATAGCTGATTGGGGGTGTTTGATGGAAAGGCCTCAACATACCAGTTACTAAGATGCCCAGGCAGGAGAGTGTAATGCATTCCTATCCTACTTCTGGGCTGCGTGTTGAGGCATTTGGTTGGCTGCTGTGGGAGCTGCAGACTGGACTGCATGGCCCTTTTGTCTAATCCAGCATGACTCAAGGTATGTTCCTACAGTTAGCCCTTAGCACTGCTTTCCCACATGAATGCATACACACACCTTCATGAGCTCTGTGGCTTCAAATCCTATCTGTATGGCAATATAGGTTTCTTATTCCTACCCCAACATCTTACATTGCATTTACAAATTGCATTTCTTCAATGTATATGCATTCACACTATAAGGATTAAAACAGGTTTTGCATATGAAGCAACTGAAATTTAGTATAACATTGAATGCAAATCCATTGACATTTAGCAATTTCATTGTTTATGTAAAAGTTGCCAAGAGAAATAACAAAGGACATGTTCAAATTGCTTCCTACATTTTCATGGCTCTTCACAATATATATGTATAAGTGTATATATATAATCTCTGTCCTCTAAATGATTGCAAATGGTTGGCCAGCAGAAAAAACTGATTGGATGATTTCCATAAACTGCATTAGCGTAAGTGCTTTTGAGGGCCAGAGTGCAGAGAGATGTACATCTAACATTATAAAGGTCTACTGCTGCCCCTGTTAGTAAATAATCTATTTAAAATTATATTTTTCTTACTTCATCTGAAGTCATGGCCCTTATATTAGAAATGCACATTTTTAAAAATAAAATGTTTGGGATGAAATGCCCATAACCTCAGAATTCAGAGGGTTGTGGGTATCATCTGTGGTATTCTCCACAGAGTGGAGAAGTGGTAGAGGCCCTGCATTTCATTAAATAGTGTTTTGTTTTGGCCTGGTTAGCCAAAGTATCTTGGAGGGTGAGGGAAAGAGGCTGGAGAGGCAGCAGGATATTTCCTTCCCTGTGCACTGAATCACCCGCTATCCCCTCTCTCTGACTTTGCTTTCCCAGAGAACAGCTGGCTTGGCTCTTATACACCAGCAGGGTGAGGAGGGAGAATGGAGCTCTGATTCCCAGCTCTGAGGTGAGAGTGCTGCCTCTGACCTCAGAACTGAGAATCTGCAAGATACGAAGGCCGCTCACCCAATGCCTAGAAGCCAAAGGCTTGATCCCTTTACCAGCTCACTACAGCTCCACAATCCCCGCAAACAGCTTCTCAAATGGGCATTTTTTAATCGGATCCAAATAGCAAGCATGCCTGTCTGTGCTCAGAATTTCACCAATATCTCTTTGCATCTGCAACCCTACGATCCCCATTGCATGCCATTCCTATGACAGCCAAGAGCATATTAGGGTGGGGGCTAGAAAGCATGCTGCAGTGTACAGGAGGAAATAGGAATGCCCCATCACCCAGGCAGGATCATATTCATGGCTCCTTCAATCCACAGTGCTATTTCAAGCATCAGAATCTGGATATTACAAACAAACATCTAAATCAGATGTTCTAGTCCATTCAGTTCCCTTAAAAATGTGGAACATCTGGCTTTCTGTCCCTTGTGCAACTGCAACATTTAAAATACTTCATTTGTTCTTTGTGTGGATTGGTGTGATTTCCCCCACCCCCGCACAGGTCTTAAATAATCCTTTGGATTTTTTATTTACACCAGTGCCGCTCCATTTATCTTTATTTGCATTCCTGTCTCAGTTGTTTCAGTTGCAGACAATATCCTGTCCTGAAAAAACGTGTATCTTATAATTATTTATGAATGTTGCAATGTATAAAATGTTGCAAGTTACCTAATTAGTGCTGATAATAAATGAGGGAGAGTTCGAAGTAAATAATGTTCCAAAATACTCAGATAACAGGGCTCACTCTGACAAATACTCAGTGCCAATACAAATGTGTTGCATGTCAGTTTCTGAACATTGGCTGGTGGGATCATTAGCCCTGGTGAAGAATTGTTGCCCCTTCCCACACTGTGCACACAGAGGGGCTTCCATGTGCTTAACAATAACTGAGTCACTACTCCCTCCATCACCTGCCTCCCAGCCTCACTTCCAAAGACTGTGCATGGACATTCGAAGAGGGACAGTGTGTACATGCAGAGCTCTCTGCTCATAGTCTTCCATTCTTCCAACATCTGTGCTGAATGCAGATCAGGAGAACAAGCATAAGAGGGCTGAGATACTGGAAGATATATCTGCACCCTGACCCTGATTCCCTTTAGTCATCGGGAGTGCCCTGCACATATTTATCCATTAGCAAAATTTATACATCTTTATCCAAAGAGAGCTGTCACTAAGGAGTAATATGGAAATGTGATAAAAGAAAGACTGCTTTTCATTTGAAATAAATTCCAGTGGTGTTTACAAAAGAAAACCAACAAACAAAAACTACAGTGGTACCTCGGCTCATGAACAGCTCAGTTCACGACCAAATTGGGTCGCGAACAGAAATTTCAGGAAAAAATTGCCTCAGTTGGCGAACTCCACATTGGGTAATGACCACGATCGCCCCTATGCCCCCCCCCACAGCACAATCGCTATTGCACAATTATTGTAAGGACTCTCCCTCCAAACAATAACCTCCCCCACCACCTAGGTTAGTGTTCTCTACTGTACTGTACTTTGTTACTTTGTTGTTCTTTGTTACTTTGTTTCAAATTTTTGTGATTAAAAATAATTTTTAACAGATTAACCTTATTACAGAATAGATTAACCTTATTTACATTGAACCTTATGGGGAAATTTGACTTGGGTCACAACCAATTTGGGTCACGACCAGAGTCCTGGAACGGATTAATTTCGTGAGCCAAGGTACCACTGTATATACAAATACACATACAGAAAAAAAGTTATCATGAGGCAGGAACAAAGCTTATGGCTGGAAGAAAGCCAAAGGAAACAGGTACATGTTCAGTACATGCCTAACATAAGCCAGGAATGAGGGCAGATGCATCTCAGAAGGAAGATCATTCCACAGAGCAGGCATCTTTGTGGAGACTGATCTCTGGGATGTCCAAATTTGTAGGCCCTCGCGCACACCCCAGGGCCTCCCCTGAGGATCATAGTGGCCAGGGAGATTGGTATAAGGGGGAGATATTCCTTGAAGTATTCTGGTCCTGAGTTGTATGGAGTTTTGTATATTAATGGCAACCCCTTAAACCTAGCTCTGCAACAGATTAGCAGCACATAAAGCATGATGTCAGCGCCTACGTCGTCTACATGTGGTCTTCATCTCACCTCCTGGACTAAGGATCTGACTGGTTGTTCTAATTGGAACAGGAATCCTTCCTTCCTTCTCTGGCTCTGGCTTTTTGCCTGGCAAAATTTTGTTTTCAGGATGACTGCCACACTCTCCTGTTTTCTGCTGCAGGCTATATTCAATTTGCTAGGAGATTCAGCCCTCTGTTTGCAAGAAGTCTGGAAAACTTGTCTGCAGGCATCAGCTACTGTACTCCTCCCTCTAGGCCAGGGAGCTCTTTTTGGCAGCATGCTTCTCCAGTGTGATGCCAGGAGAACATCATTGTGGAATTTATGCCATTGCTACATGTTTAGCACCTTTACATTAATAATGTGAGGTCATCTTTGATGCACAATGTTAGGGAGCTCCAGATAAACATGGTTTGTTAACCTACTCACATTATTAATTTCTGTACTTGCTAGATTTAATCCACAATTTTCAAACCATCCATAATGTACCTAATGAACAGAGTTTAGTTTTCCTCAGTGGATGGAACAGCTATTATAAATAGAAAGTTATTGACAATTCCCAATTTACAGGAAATGATCACTGATCCTTTCATGTTTGCAGCACTGCTAAAATAATCTTTATGACCTACACCTTCAGTGAATTCTCAGCAAAAGATCAGAGGGTCATTAAAAGATGCAAGCAGCTTTTGCAGCATATCTGTCAGCAACACCGCTGAAGGAAGTGGGGAAAGCCCACATCACTTCTCTATCTTCATTTTCCAAGGCAGCTAGTATATGGCTTTGAGAGTAGCAAGTCCAAAGTGCACAAGGGGTTACAGAGCTACTTGCATGATTCTTTGGATCCTGCCTAACATGTGTAACCATTTATAGAAGCTGTGTGTGCACACACCTCACAGAGCATTGATAATCTGTAAGGTGAACTAATGCTAAGCCCAATGAAAGGCAAGACAGAAGCCACACATTTATGACAAAAACCGAAAGTGTGCCGTAAAGTAGATGCAACACTTTGGTTGTGCAATAACCTGCATGCATTGCAAATGGCCAGCTTGTATGCTTCCAAAGCAACAGTTGCAGCTCTCTATTAAAGCAATGTGACGGAAAGCGGGTGTTGTCCTTCGCCCAGTCCTTGCTTTTCTTGTAGCACTGATACCTCACTCACACTTTCCATGGCCAGTTCTATTTGCCCAGGGAACAAGAGCAAATATACTCACTTGTACTATATAAGAAAACTGCATAATAAGGAACCAAATCTAAAAGCATTTACAAG